TACAAAAAGCATTTCAAACAAGCAGAGTTTTACGCATTTTTCTGACCTAATAGTAATACCATCTCAAACGAAGAGCTGTACAAAACGACTAACACCATCCAGGAGCGGATCCAGCAATTTTTGAAAGGGGGGGGGGGTTCCAGGGTTGTGTCCCTCTACCCCACCCCTCCCCTTACACACTCTCAAGCAAAGACACACACACACGTATGGACAGATCTAAATAATATCGGTTTTTTTTATGTCCGTTTTTTCTTTGAAAGCAAAAAAACACATTTCAAACACTACTTAAGCCTTAAAATTCAATGGATTTTTAGCATTTCCGAAGAGTACAAAGAATTTTCTTTTTGAAGAAAAACCTTGTGGGGGTGGGTTGCGGGTTTGGTTTAAAAACAAAGAGTTTCATGTTAGTTCCTTCAAAAAATATGATCAAAAACATGAAAATCTATCTAGTTCAATACATGCGTTAGACGTACAAATATTTATTCTTGGAAAACGTTTCATCCGCCTCTCTCTCCCTCTCTCTCTCCACTTGGCTAAAAATAAAGGGGGGGTTCCAACCCTCGGACCCCCCCCCCCTCTGCATCCGCCAATGCCATCCCTCTATCCCAAGTTATAAAGAAAAGAAAATGGCTGTGGATAGGACATACATGTAGAATGCACCCAACGTCCATCCCAAGGGTTGCATTGAGATGGACACCAACTGGCAAGAGAAAGACCAAAAGAAACGTGGAGAAGACTTGTAGAGAAAGAGATGAAAGAAAACAACTGGACATGGGGACAGATTCAATGATGGACACAAGACAGGCCAACATGGAAGTCTCTGGTGACGGTCTTATGTGCTAACCACGGCCGAAATTAAATGTACGATCCTCTTGGTAGGAGAGATCGAGCAATATGCAGACTCCGAACCATGGCTTGAGACGATGGACCTTAATGGACAGCAGTTCGTCTTATTTCAGTAATCCCTCTAAAAAAAAAACCCAAATCTGTAGAGTTGTTTAACAAATCTTATTTATCAAACGTGTTCTTTCTCAATTTTGAAACCGTTTTAAATTAACAAAGTCTTCTATCCAATAAAAATGCATTTTTTTACTACATGTATATTAATATCGATCAATTCATCACCAGAAAATCTAAGATAGGTAGGTGCCATGAAACTCACAATTCTGGAAGAAGTTGAGGAGAGTAGCGTATCAGAAACCCTTGGCAAGCGAAGATGGCAGTGGCAGAGAAGAACCTTTTCAAAGAAATAGTGCTTTTCGCTATATATTTAACATGTTTAATAAACCCCCTTCCTACCGGAATCTCTAACCTTGGATCACATACACAATTCTATAAACGAGGCACTCTTGATTATCATAACAATGCGCTTGGTTATCTAATAAATTCTCAAGAGAAGAAAGAATTAATGCATTTTCACTATATAATCGATAAAACCCTATCCTTACACCCAAGCCCCTGCCCCAGGGCTCATGAGATTCACAATTTTGAAAGAAGCACATTTGCTCATAATAACCGAAGATCTAGACTTATTTTGTTTGCATGCTTAAGGACTCAGGGTCAGGAAAGGAAACTAGCTGTTAAAGAACAAATGCATTTTCACTGTATAATCATCAGAACTCCCCCCCCCCTCCGGCAGAACCAATCACCCGGAGGTCACACATTTCACAATTTAGGAAGATGCACCCTTAATCATCATAACATACACCTATAATTCAGTGGCGGATCCAGGAATCTTTAAAGGGGGGGGGGCAAATTTTTGGGGTCAGGGTATGGCCTGCATGTACAGTAACAGCAAAATTAATTGTTGATTTATTAAATTTATGCATAATTTGGACACAAAAAAGGTCCCTGTTCCCTGGATCCCACTTCAGTACTAATGGGACCCTGAATTTCACAATTTTAGTAGAGGGTTTTACATGCTTATTACAATTACAATCATGCTAATAGTTGGACTGTTTGATCTCCAGGAGACTATCCCATAGGAGTATTCAAGAAGAATTTTGAAGATGTAGCACTAATTTTGATGGTTTTACTCCCATCCTTTTAAGGCTCCAACAGGAAGCATGACATTCACAATTTTTGTTCCAATTCATTCATAGACGTTCTATGTCAAAATTGGTTGAAGTCGGTTTTGTGTATGTACGTACTTACAGGTTTTTCTAGACTATGTAGTTTCGGGTATTGTACACTAGATCTCTAAATCTTAACAAAAGCGGGAACTGATCTGATATCAGATATCAAAATATCAGAAGTATAGACTAGGAAATTATGTATTTTTGATAAGTTTTTGTGTATATAATACAAACGCAGGGAGTGGGGGGGGGGTACACCATTCGTCAGGTGCCAGTGGTTTTGTAGACTATAGTTTCGGTAGACATGCAGTTGTTCAAAATTTGTATTATGATTTCTAGTGCCTCGTGTGAGGCCTTCAGTAAAAAATGATTGAATTATTTATAACAGAAACAAATCCCCATGAAAAACCTTCACAACGCACAGGATTTATAATTTTTATGGAGGCCTTTAAATAATGTGCCTTCTCTCGGGTCTTTCCGTCAGAGGTCGTAAAAACAACCTCGAGGTCGTTTTTCCGCTAGTCGGAAAGGCCCGAGAAGTTGCATTGGTGCCTTTCCGTTTAAAAATATATATATGTATAAATGACTTCTTATTCTTTTTCGTTCGCTAAAACTTGAAATTTTTATTTTTCGTGTAAACTTTGACATTTCTTTCCTGACCACTTGCTCTTAATTTTTAGGTGTTAAAAACAATACCTTTATATGCTTATTTTTACACAGGAGCACGTGCAAAAACGGTGTGAAATGCTAAAAAAATATTATTTTCAGACATTATTGTTCTACTCCAAATATGCGCTAAAAAGAACCAAAAATGTCAAATCACATTCAAAATCAACATGTATTATTTTATATGACTTGTATCTTTAAAATGAAGGCAAGTTCATTGTAATTCATCTCGCATGAAAAATTATAAAGGAGCACAATGTAAGTATCACCCCGTTTTTATTGTCGTATTTTTTACAATTCCGACATGCATAACAGGTAATATCTTAAAAAGTCTTTGTGTGAAAATGTTGTAATTCATATTTTTTGGAAGAAATGACCCCTCTCTTTATTTTAACAAAGAAAAAAGTATACCTTTATGATAAAATAAACGAGAAATATGACGTTTTCTTTTATTTTCGTACTCTTCTGTCATAAATATTGACCTTTCTGCACTAAAAAAAAGGTACGTTAGCACTGACAAACATCTGAATATAAAACTATTTTGCAAAAAACGAGTATTTTGTTTTGATAAGAAATAATTTAAACAGATAAACTCTTTTCTTCTTTATTCGAATCATTCTGCCCTCCCTCCCCCCTTTCCCCGTCAACAACCAACACCTAATAGAACCTAGGAATGACTTTATACAACAGAATTTACAAACACTATAAATCAATAAGTATATATAGGTACAAGTAAATTTCTTAATTTTTTTCTTAGTTTTATCCAGAAAATACAATTAATCGTAATCATAAAATTAAACATATTTCCCTGATTTACGCCGCTGTCTTTGCTGATTTTTATCTCATATTTTTGCATTTTTATATCAGCATATCATGGATGTATTTCTTCACAACTGAAATTGCTATGAATTATCAACCAAAGGAAGAGAATTCTAATATTAAGAAACTCCATAAATCAAATAAAACTGTTATAAATGATGAAAAAATTTTCTTTTTTGTTAACTGTGTACGTTATTGATTAATAACAATGTTATGCCTATAATCACAGTTGCAAAAGTCAGCGGGAAAAAAACAAACGTCGCTATTGTGACGTCACATAACGCTGCTTTGACGTAGAACGATCTAGTTGAAAATTACGAAAACGGAATGATAAAAAATTTTAATTCTTGGAAATATACTTGTATGTTTTATGCTGTGAAAAATTAGAATGAAATTTTGTTACCTTGCCTTTATTGTAGTGAAATGGGGGCACTGTCAAGATATGGACCATTTTTCGTGTTTTTATACACAATTACATACTAAAACTCTTCAATAAACAAAGAAATTTACAAATAAAAAAAAATACACGATGAAATTCTTTGTTTTTCACATATATCATGCAATTTTCATTCCTCTTATAAAAAATGAAAAGAAAATTGGCGGTAGCCTTTATTGCAGTGAAAAGGGGGCATGTCAAAACACAAAATTTAGATTTATTCTATCCAACTAAACGTATATAATAGGTCGCAATGGGTTTACATAACACCAACAAACGATTACATGTACAATACTGTATTAGTTTCTAAAAAAATAATAATTCTTACATTATGAAATTATTTTCTCGCCATGCTTAATTTTTCTCTTAACACGCAAAGTTTTTTTACGTGGAAAATAGGGGTAGAGGGGGGGGGGGGGGCTAAAGGCGACACAATTGCAATTTTTACTAATATCATGTAATATATAAAAAAAATAAAATATTTCGGGGGTTCAATTTAATGATTTTTATACTTATTTTATTTTTTTAAAACTGAAGATAATCCATGCATAATTAAGTCCGCAATAAAAAGAGTGTGTATAAACACTTCAACATGTTCAAAGAGAAAGACTAAAATCGTTTACTTTTAGTTGCAGCGTTTGTTTTTTTTTAACCCACAAATTGAAATAAAACAGGATAAAATTAATGAATCTGTACCAAAAAATTGATCCTTCAAAATTAATTAGGTTTTTTAAGTTGTTTATTAATTTAAATATTTAAAAAAAATAATGGAAATGCCAGCAACCAGGTAAGCAAGATCAGCGAAACAGTTTAGCGCAATTTGACGTCATTTTAATTGTGACGTTATAAGGTTCAATTGTGACGGCAGTCAAGGGTATTGTGACGTGCCTGAGTCGACGCTGCGTTAAAACGTATGCGCAGATCAAGTAGATCGGGCCTCGTTAAGTGAAATAAAATCACCGTATTTCCGCATTCCACTCTCGTTTTTAGATCTACTTTTATTTTAGTTTCCGTAGTCAACTTCCTAATGTAGCAGCACGCGTGTCGACAGTTTTTACTACCAGAAATGAACATCATACCATGTATAAAATGGGTAAAACGTGGTGTAGCCAAGTCTATTCCCGATAAAGTAAGAATTTTGGTGTCTAATTATATACTTGTTTTTTACCTCTTTGAGCAGTCCATATAAGTACTACGGACTATCAGTAAAGCAACCTAAAACAAAGGTAGTCTGGTAGTTCCGACATTGCAACTTATGGATACTTTTTTAAGATAATGATGTACATGTATTTACATTGTTTTTGCTATTGTACACACCTTGTGTTCATTTAAGCCTTGGAAAGTATGATAAGTTGATTATGTAACCTGAAGCGGTCACCTATCAAAGGGTTAAACATAGAGAGAGACTCTACCGCATCACTAGAAAAGCTAGCTTACTAGCAAGGCAGCACAAGTTGCTTGTATACTGTCCGCTACGCTTCCCCACGCTCAGGGAAGCTTAAATTCGACCCGAAGCGTAGCATGAGTTCTCTCTGAGTGTCTAGACCTCTTTAGTTATGGCAACCAATGCCATTCCCGAACAAGAAGTCCGTACCTGGACAGGTTGGAACCTCTTCAGTTACGGCAACCCCTGCTGTCCAAAAACAAAGTCTGTAAATGGACAAAAAGTCCTAGCTCTTAGACTTCCTGAAGCAGAACACCAGACACCCAGAGTCACTATGCTGCCTCCAATTTTGTATCGTGAAGCAGTCACTCATCCAAGGGTTAAACAGGCTCACCGTTGCTTAACTTGCCTGAAATAGAGGGAGACTCTTTCAAATAACTAGAAAAGCTAGCTCACTAGCGAGGCAATATTATAGGGTTATTGAACTTATATAGGTGAATATTGGCACAAGTTAGCTGTTCAAATGCATGAGCTTGCGAGTGCATTTGAACAGCCAACGAGTGCCAATATTCACCAATATAAGTTCAATAACTCCTTTTAATTATTACATAGCTAAAACATTTCCACATAATTTATAATAATTATTCCAACTAAAAAACTTAAATTAATGTTTTTTAGTACCAGTATTCAAATTAACGTCTGTCCTGTAAGTGTTCAATATCGTGCATCATTCCGATGACCCTACTGAGCGATATGAATTGCCTATTTAGGTTTTAATGGGCCTAATATGTACTAAATTTAAATAAATAATTTCATTTTGTATGAAAAATAAACACATCTTACCTAGATGCCACTTCCTTTCTTTAATTTAGCTCTGAGAATTTGACCAGATGACTTTTTTTGTTTACAATGGGGCGTTCGATATTGAACGCTTGATTCGGAATGTTTCGGGCATACTCATATACGTAATACAAACTCAGCGTTCAATAAAACGTCAAGATATTGAATGCTAAAATTCTCTAGATTTTTGGTAGTATTTTATTAGAGACTATTTAGGCCAAAATAAAATTATAGTTTGTTTGGAATTGCCTCCCGCCTCATTGAAATGCCCCCTCCTGAAAAAATTTTATTGACCAAAAGTAGGAAGATTTTTTTTTATTTAATCAATTTTTTTGCCCATTACATTTATCACATGTCAGACCTATGTAAAATTAGGTTTTATTGTTGATGGTAGATACTTTTTTTAAAAGTAAGAAAATGTATACGTATTTACTGTTTACTGAGATTTTTATAAAAAATTTTAAATTCATCTTCAATTAAAAAAAAATAATTTCCCTCCCTTCCTCCTGTGTCTGAAACCCTTCAGGCGGCAATTCCAAACAAACATTTTTTTAAGGATGGCCTTATTAGCTATATAATAAAAGTCCCTTTTATACTGTCCTCTACAATCATTTCACATTGTGCTGAATTATTACAAATCAATTATCTTATTGGCCAAATTTTCTTTTAATCGAGTCAGGAAATAACTGTTATGTTTAAATATCAATTGCCTTGTATAGTCTCAAAACTTTTTGAACTTCAACAGCTGTTCAAGTACAAGATCTCTCTAGAAGACACAAATTTATGAGGGATTTTTATCTGCTTTGTTTAGTTCAATTTTAAGTACTGCACAGAGGTGCAGCATTTTCAGTTGTTAGAAAATAGCTAAATAAGCAACTGTATAAGGGGAAGTTTTCTCCCCCATTTTATTTTATCCCCTTATGCCTTTGTCACAAGTGGGCGAAATTAAAATGGGGCGAATTGTTTGCAATTGTGAAAGGGCAAAAATAACATAGGGCGAAAATAACCCTGTATACAGTATCGATAATTAAGTACATGTATTGATAATTAAACTAATCTGAACCATTATGTAAACATTTTATATCATAAAGAGTAACTGAATATTTCATTTACTGTAAACCAATTTTTATTCATTTGAGAGAAATTTTTGCGAGGTTCGCTAGATCCTCATCATCGCGAATATTTCGCGCCATGAACCAGTCCTTAAAGTGCCTGCGTCTATTAATAACAGATCCAAAAAAGGCTTGATAGCGAAAATTAATCCTCGCAAACTAGATTACCTCTGGTAAATCGTGAAATAAAGTGTTGCAAATAAAAATTGGTTTACAGTATTCATTTTTGTAGCAGTCATCATCTAGATAAGTTTTGTTTTTCCTATTTTCATCTTCTTGCTATCTGTTTTAAAGTTTGGTTTTGGATATTTGAAGGTTAAACTGAGTGAGGATGAATTAAGGCGAGTTATAGAAGACACCAAGGAGTAAGTTAATCTTATTTTTAATGTTATAAAAATAGGGATCAACTATACAGTTAAACATGGTTTTAGCAAAGTGCCAGAGGCAAATGATTTTTAATTAGGTAAAAGGTAATTTGTTACATCCATTAAGATCATAATACATGCATATTTTAAGACTGCAAGGAATAAAAATCCCTTTATTATCAAGGCTACATTATATGTGTGTTTGATGTAACCATGCTTTACAGTATTTAAGTATTTGACATGTACAATGGATAAAATATATCACTCTTTTTTATATTTGAACCTTTTGATTCTTTTCAAAAATACATTTATTTTAAGTAAAAACTAATAAATTCTGTGTCTCCCTTTTAACAGCAAAATCGATGTCCTTGATGATGAAGATGATGAACAAGAAGAGGATAATGATGATGACAAAATAAGTGAAGATGATAAACTTGGAACTACTGAAAGGGGAGACAAGCGTAAATTGGACGATGATGATGACATTGAGACAAAATATGATTTGGCGGATTATGATGAGGACGACGAAGCTGGTGAGGAGAAGAGACAAAACACTGATTTATTTGCCATTGTTGTTTTCTCAAGTGTAATTTTTCAACATTTCAGAAGAAGTCTAGAAGAATTTCATTAGTTAATTTAGGATCTGATAGTGGTGTGAAAAAATCCAAATATTATAAAAAATATTTGCAACATCTTTAATTTATTTTCAATACAGTAACTTCAGTTTGGAATTCTTCTGTGACAAATATTCTTTTGGTAATGCAAATTGAATTCAATGTCATGTGTCGTCAGAGTCTAGACGCACCAAATGTCACCTGTGGTTTGATGAGCTCAATCTAAATTAAAACTGAATAAGTAGCCTATCTGCGCTCACCCTAATGGTCACACCACGAACATATTAAAACAAAATCATTTACATCATTCTAAGTTATTGGGCACTGTCCCATCAATTTCTTTATTGTGTTTATCTTGACACATTTGTTTTATACAGTGGATATGCTGAAGGGGATTGGTAATTTGACATACTACGCATCAAACTCTGAAGATCCCTATGTCACACTAAAAGAAGAGGTGAGGGAATATATCATCATAAAAAATAAGAAAGATTTCATTCCAAATACAGCAAAACACAGTTATTACAAAGTCACTGGGACCTACATGTATGAAATAACTTCGTTAAATCCGTAATTTGTTATAACCTTAGAAGAAATTCATTTAATTTATATATCTGGGGATTCAAGATGTATGCTATATGAGAGAATATGTTAAAAAATGTGTGGCTTTGAGAGCAAATTTTGAATGGTGTACACAGTTTTAGTTAATTTTATTATATAATAATTACTTTCATGTATAATATCTATATAAGTATTGTTATTGTAGGGAGACAGTGATGATGAAGATTTTGAAATCAAAGCCACAGATAACCTGATTGTGGTGGGAAAGGCAGAGAAAGAGTACTGCTGCATAGAGGTGTATGGTAAGACACTGAAATAGTAGTACATTTATTTATTTTTTTGTTTTCTTTGTAAAATTTTGCATATTTCCTTTAGTTTAAATATTCAAACATGAATATGATAAAATGTACTGGGAATATAGAAAAATATATATGTTGGTCATTCATACTGTTAATTACTTTTCATTACTTTATTTTTGCGTAATTAATGAGACAATGAGCCCGCAAAAATATATATAATTCCCGAGTATATAAACATTCCAAAAGATTACGTAGAGTAATAATCAGAATTCATGAAAATATTTTCTTTCTAATAAAGAGTTAACGTCTACCTCACGAAAAAACGGTGTCAGACATTTTCCTTCCACCTTGACTAGTTAAATACATGCATGTTCTGCTTTGTACCAAACCTACAGATATAATATACTTATTTATAAGCTGGAGTATATGTACATTTGAACAGTGATTTTCTATAATGAACAGTGTACAATGAAGACCTGGGGAATCTGTACGTCCACCATGATATTATTCTCTCCTCCTTCCCTCTGGCTGTAGAGTGGCTGAATTATGATGTCGGGGAAGACAAACCAGGTACAGATTATTATAATGTTATATCAGCTACTAGCTCAAACAGTATTGATTTTGGACAAATTTCCCCAGTAAAGTTGCTGTTTTCGTGGGAAGGTGGGGGTTACATTTCCTCTGTTTGTGTTAATTACAATATCATTATTTTATTGTAGCCTCGTTTTTTCTTTACAGCTGTTTGGAAAATGATTAAACTTTTTGGTATTTTCTTGATACTTACCTGCTTACAGAATCCATTTTTGATGTAAAATTATTTACTGACATGTAGTTGTCACATCTGGTAACCTGATATTTGTAGAGTTCAAGATAAGAAAATGTAAAAAGTAGTGAAACTGCCATTTACATGTCGAGTGATTTTTTTTTCTAGGAAATTTTGTGGCTGTGGGCACTATGGAGCCCATAATAGAAATTTGGGATCTGGATCTAGTGGACTCATTAGAACCTGTGGTGGTGCTAGGGTCAAAGGTCAAGTCAAAAAGCAAAAAGGCAAGTAGTGATGGTTGCTCTTTTGAAAGAAGTGAACAGAACTGTAGACTTTTGTCCGACGAAGTTAACGCTATGATTAACAGAGAGCAGTAGGAAGACCTGTAATAAACATTCACTGGCACACCATGTTTCTAGATATTAATATTACTTTGTTCCAAATTAAATATGCCCACATCCACCTAAAATATATTAACCTGTGATTTATTTTTTCTGTCTGACAGAAGAAAACAGATGGTCATACAGATGCTGTTCTTGATTTGGCTTGGAATGCTAATGTTAGGTAAAGTAAACAGTGAAATTATCATTAAAGGGAATTGGTTGTAAAATAAAATGCAAAATTTTCATCAAATGCATCCTCTTAGATGAGGAATTGCTGAACCCATAACTTTTCTCCTAATTTTGTCTTTTATTCTATGTACAAAAGCTGTTCCATTTCCATTTCAATTTGTAAATATTTTTTGCATTCAAATTTAAAAGAAATTAAATGTTAGGTCATATCAAAATAATTGTTTGGTTGTCCTCTCCCAACTGACTGAATTAAAATGGCCAAACTCCAAACTTTTTTATATTCTAGGACACAATTTTTTTTTTCTTTTCCCCTCTATCCTGTCAACAACTATGTTGTAATTTTCTGGAAGAAAGATTTTTTCCACCTACATGGCGACACTTTAATTTTACCCTGAGTTGGGAGAGGGCAAGCAAATATTATTTTAAAGATGGCCTTACTATTTTCTTTTTCATCAGGAATGTCCTTGGAAGTGCCTCGGCAGACTGTACAGTAAAACTCTGGGATTTGTCAGAAGGAAAACCAGCAACAACCATCAGTCAACACGAAGACAAGGTGACTGTGTACTCGACTTGTATTAAGAATTATACATTGAATTTAATGTGATAGATTTTTAAAACGAATAATGCATACATGTATATATTTATGCAATGGGTTCTTTATCACTTTTGACAATCTCAGATTGTCATTGCCAGAGATCAATGTTGCCTGTACCATGGTTTTGAACTATTAACCATTGAAACCTCTGGAACAAAATATCAAGCAGACAATGGTTGCTATTTCTCAGCTAGTTGTCCAATATTTTTTTTATACACTATAAAACTTTGTTTACTTCTAGGTTCAGTGCCTAGCCTGGTGTCCCTCAGATTCTTCCTGTCTCCTGTCTGGATCCTTTGATAAGTAAGATGTCTAGTTACTTGTAACGTGTTTTAGGTAGTATAAAGTAATGACATCAGTAGAAAGTGAAATCTTATTTTATATACATGTATGTAACTGATGAAAGGGATACATGTATCAAATTGAAAGCAGTGTATAAAAAGATAAATTATTCATGTTTAATAGACTTAGCCAAAACAATGTAACTACCCAGCAGTTCTCACAATGTTTATTTTGATTCAATAGTTAGAGGGTAATGCATATTACTGACAATTCAGTTTTCAACATCAATGTTCGTTTTGAACTCTTTTAAAGAAAAGTTATTTGTGAGAATTCAGGTTTGAATGTGGTCTGCTCACGTTTTGTTTTTCTTTTCAGGAAATTAATGTTTTCTCTCACATTAACTATCTGTAATAATGCCTAATTACAAAATCTTTACCATGTTAGTGATACAGTGTATCAATAAAAAATTGCAACATCCTGTAAAGTGAACTTGAGATTTAAAACCAACTGGATTTTTTTTTTTCAGCACAGTGAAAATGTTTGACTGTAAAGACCCCAATAAAAATTTTAAAAGCTGGACTCTCAATGGTGAAGTGGAAAATATCTTGTGGGATAAATTCAATCAGACAAATTTTTATGTAAGTGATTCAGCATTATTCAAGATCAAAAGTTGAAATGAAGGAGTAAATACTGTAAAATGACTGAACTCATTATTAATATTTTGACAGGCCACAACAGATAAGGGGCATGTGTTTTACATGGACAAAAGATCAACCAAACCAGTGTTCACACTTTCTGCACACAATGAGGCTGTGACAGGTAATCTTTGCCTATCTTGATTGTCATGACTTCATTCCATTTGTCTGCAGAAATAAGAATTATATTTGTACAATTTCCTCTTCTCGCATAGATATTTGATGGGTAATTCATGCTTTAGTCATGGTAGGAACTGGGAGCAATACTTGACTGACCACCTATTAATCAAGGTCAGTCAAGGAGGGTATTCTATCCATAGAGTGATTAATTCACAACTGTGTATACATTCTGTGCTCTTTTACTTGCAGGTCTCTGTCAGAGTTCCTCAGTCCCTGGATTACTGGTGACAACCTCCACAGACAAGACAATGAAGATCTGGGATGTGCAAGACAATAAACCCTCAACAGTTCTGGAACGAAACCTTAAGCTGGTAATGTATCTTAGGATGTCATTCTCACAATTAATACTGTATAATTAGATCTTTCTATTAACTGCTGATATTTCTTTTTAAATGCATAAATGTATAATAAGATGTGTATGCATAGTAAAACTTAGATATGAGTTCTAATATACATGTATAGAAATCTGTTTATAAAAAAATAAAGCTGTCACTGTGGATATTATTTGAACTCATTCTTACACAGTATAAGAAAGTCATATACATGTATAAGGAATCAAACTGTAAGTGTCCAAGAAATTTTCAAAATTTTTTCATTTTCTCTGTAAATTGCTATTATATGGGATTTGCTTTGAATTATTAATATTTTTAAGTAAATGGAAAGCTACTAAGGGTGTGAAAATTACCCCCCCCCCCAAAAAAAAGAAGCATCATAGTGTTTGTACAATTTCTTGAATGTTTATTTGTAGAATCAACTTTTTTGTGTTGATGCATGTCCAGAAGCACCATTTGTTTTTGCTGTTGGTGGAGAGAAAGAAATTAAAGTATGGGACATAAGGGAGAGTGCTACAGGTATACACTTGATTCAGATTCTAACTTTATTCAGCATAGAATTTTTTGACGATAATGCTGTTTCTTTGGTTACTATAAAATGGTATATTATGTTAATTCTTTCAAAATCATTATTTGGCTAGGTTTCAATAAAGTGAAAGTTTAAAATATATCAATACATAATTCAGTAAATGTAAAACTCCAAAATAAAAGGTGCAATTCCAAGTGTGACCATAAGGTACTCATTTTATGTTAGGTATACCAGGTTCATTTAAAATCATTCTAACATGCTTTCTCTGTATTTCAGTGAGAAAACACTTTGCCTCTAGAGCACCTGTTGGTGTAACCATGGATGGAGATGGTGATGTGAAGGAAGAGATGGAGGAAGCCATGAGTGGGATGATGATAGACAAAGAAGAAGAGGAAGATGTCCAGACCCTGCTGGGAGAAGGGGCCTCACCCGCCCCCACCACCGGCAAGAAGAAAAAGAAGAAGAAGAAACGGAAAAAGCAATCAGAGAATTAATTGTCAATTGTGTTTTAACTTGTTGGAGGGGTCACCCGGTGGGATTGGAGGGAGGGGGGAGGGGTAAATGGGAAAGGGGGGTGTTAAAGTGTGGAGCTTTAGCTATGTTGACATTTTAATTGTTTAAGGCTGCATTTGTTTTTGTACATGAACCGTACAACTTAAGGTGACACATTAAAAAAATCTTAGGCCTGTGAGAATGTTGGTTATGTAATAAATATAAGTTCTAAAATATTCTTTGTACTGTGGTTGTTTTTTCATGTGTAATCAAAACATGGAGTGTGGTTAAATTGGAAGAACCAGTCATTTACATACTTTTCGGATGAAGAACAAATGTACTAGATGAATCAGATGTTTTTTCTTTAGACCTTGCTTACAGTATATATTAAGTAGTATGTTAAGGTCAGATGATGTGTTCCCCAAATATCTGTTTTGTATATCTTCATAATGTATGAAAAATATACAAAATTTTACTAACTTTGATTTCTAAACTGGTTTCTAATTTTTTTTTAAAAATTTGAAACACTAAAAATGTGATTTTGGCAAACTAAGTTTTTTTCCCTAAAGGATTATATAAGAAATGCCATCCTCTGGTATCTCGCACAAATGCCTGGTAAGGTACCTCAATTTTTTGTGAGTAAACATTTTAAAGTAGTAATTCAATCTTCAATGACAAAATCTTGGAAAAAATTATATATTATTGAGGAACGTCTCGTCTGTCCTTAATCATTACTATTTACTAATTGTATTCACATTGTTGGACGATTAATGGGTACTCATTGCCAACACTATAATCTGCAGTGCACTGGCATGCCAAGTAATCTCAAGGTGTTACACTGGTTTCCTTTAAAGTGTAGATGATCACTAGTGATTTTGAGGTTGCAAGGTTAAATGTCAATGGTCAAACAAGACATGATAAAAATACTGATCAATAACATCTATCTCAAGAACCCTTTGCTTGTCTGACATCAAACTTGAAACACTGGTATTTTCTAGAAGATAATCCATTATTATCGTGTGTGTTTGGGGTGGGAATTGTCACAGCTATGTTTCTAAAACATTTTTGTTTCTTAAACTTGGAATTTGGCATAAAGCAAATGTATAAAGTTTAATTAATGCATGTACACGTTTCTGCTATATTTTCGGCCTTGGTGTTGCCAATAAATAGAGTGTATATCTTTTCAACCAGAGCACCAAGGAGATGTTTCTTTTGAGGAAAATTAAATGAAAAGAGAAAATTTCATGAAAGTTTATTTCTGCTTCATTCTGATAATTGATAACGGTATAAAGGTGGTGTACTTGGAAACAGAAGAAAATTGAGTAACATTTACAAGTTTAAATACACTGCAGTAATTTTCCTTGTAAAATAAACTCCCAGCTAAATAAAACAGTCATTTTACAACACTATAATTTTCATTTTATACTTTACATGAAATATAATTACCTCTCATATATATTCACTTATAAAATAATTAAATTATCAGAATATAGCTTATACTTGAAAAAATTATGTTTGTAGAAGCATAAATGGATAACTTCACGTGGTACTAGTACATAAAATTTTCATATACTTTACATGTAAACAAAAATATAAAAAGTATGCAAAGATAACTAACAATTTTAAAATACTCAGAAGCATAAAAGTTAGCAAATAATCATTATTTCATCTGACTAGACATATTCTCTGTTCATTCTTGTCGACATTCTGCCCATTTAGTGTTTAACACAATTAATATCACATAATATAAAGACATAAATTCATTCAGTACCAGCTAACACACCAGTCACTATCCTGTCTATACTAAATCTCCTCTATCCTGCTGGCTTGGGATTCTTTGCCACAGCCCTGATTTTAGTTTTACAGGACGGACACTGGTTCAGGTCTAGCAGGCATTTGTCACAACAGGAGCATCGACAAGGGTGAAGTGTGAGGCTGCCTGAGGAATCTGTCCTCTTACAACCCACACAGGCCTGAGTACCAAAGTCCACTTCATCATAGCCCATTGGTTCACTGGATGTACCTACAATGATGCATAATCCAAATCATGTACATAAATACAGTTGAAATGTGGTATCTCATACAAAATTGTCACAATTCTGATGTGGGGTACATGGATTTTTGAACATTGTCATTGAACATGAATTTTAAAAGAAAAAAACAGCTTTCCACACGTTTGCACTTGGAAGATATACTTATTTTTTTATTACCTGTAGCTTCAGAGTTTAAATTCCATTCCACTTCAGTGATTGGTGGGATTGAAGACTGAGAAGGAGGCTGGGTCTCCTGTTGAACTTTGAACTTTTCTATTTCTTCAACAAACGTATTTTCATCTTCACATTCAGGTACTAAAAAGTATAATGACAGGAGAGATCAAATACTGTAAATGAGATAATAATCCCAATATTATTATTATCGGTACTTTGGTTTTAACATCTATTTCTCATAATCTAAGAAATGTATATCATCTAAATACAAACAACTATTTTTGATAAAATATACTAAAAAAGACATCCCTTAAAATTTTCGAATAATTTCTTTAAAAAGCCAATTCCTTATTATCAATGGGATCTTCCATCACTGTGAACCAATAATACATTATTTAACTTACTTTTACCGACTGTATATTACATATATTATAAATAAAATGATTTTTTTGTTTATTAATGCAGGTAATAGTACGAGTGTAGTTTCAATCATTGCAGGAAAAATTTACATAGATTGGACATATATTTTTTTTCACAAAATCGTAACAGTTAGCTTTTTTCACACAAAAAAGAAACAGATGTAAGTTACATTGAGTTAAATTTCAATCCTTTCTGTACTTACACCCCCGGGATTGTCTGTCCATTTCAAACATTTGAACCAATTCCTCATCATATCCCAGAGAAACCTTGCGGATTCTGTGTTGTCTAAATTCTCGATGGAGTGGACCTCGGACCGGTGACATGAAGTTGTTCTCGCGGATAAACAAACATCGAGGAAACCACCTGGCATGTTCCTCCCACGGCTTATCATCTGGTTCCCAATTCCGAAGGAGTCCCCCACATTGGAAGCACTGCACAGCATCACCCTTTTCTAAAATGTCAGAAACTTAATTGCATGCAATTTCTTTTTTAAAAATAAGCGATGAAAAATACATGAAAGAGTTCATAGGCACTGATGTTGTTATTTTGCCTAGCTTTTAAATTTTTGATATCCAAAAATAATAAGACAAGTAATTTTTTAACTTTGTTGTCGCATTATCCAATAAGCGGCAGGTACTTGACTTTTTACCTGTGTAAAACAAGCCAGCGGCAGCTAGTTCTTTTGGCCTCTGTTTCATTGCCTTGGGCCAGTAGTTTTTATACGTTTCTAGTCTCTTGAGGTAATCCTTAAACTCAGGATATTCCGGTTGTATATTTGATAAGCAATCTGAACTAGGAGAGTATGGAATATTGGATGTCTTTTTTCCTAACACAAAAGGACAATACTTTGAATGTCGTCTATGCTCAGTTGGCACGTCGTCTCCTTCCTGCCAAGAACTCAACACAACATTACAGAAGGCGCAGCGCACCCGGTCACCATCTCCGAGGTAGTAAAAGCCATTCTTTGCCAGGTCCTCTTTCTTTACAATAGACTGATAGCGCCAGTTTTGAAAGCTTTCTCGACGATAGATCTCTGCCCTGTACACTAATACATGTTCTTGTTCATCATCGCTACAATCAGGTCTATTATTATGATTATGAACTGGCCCATCCACTTCATCCTCTTTTATCACCATGGTTCTTTTGAAAAGATTTTTTTTTTTAAATGACAAATCAAAAACATTATTCATTCATCATATTCAATCTTTACAAAATAAACAATCACTATTCAGTATGAGGGGAATTTTTATTATTTCCCAGTTTTCCTGCAATAATCATGATAATTGAATATTTCCATTTCAAATTTTTTTCTCTGTGATAACTCATTGAAAGTTGTCGGAGTTTATTTCTTTATAATTCTGCCGGAATGTTAATTAGGCAGATCGATAGGTCAGGAGCTAAGTAGGCCTAATATGCATGCAAATCTCGTGCGCATCTGTCACTGTGTCTGACGCTAAGAAGGCCAAATATGCATGTAAATCTCGTGCGGCTGCCTATGTGTTTGACATCAGTGGGCGAGGACTATTGATATTGGCATAGAAGTCCTCCTGTAGTTTAAATCTATTAGTCTACATTTTTAAAGTCTAAATCTACAATTTATTTCACAATGAAATGGAAATATAAGGAATCACTGCCTAGTTAGTGTAGTATGCCAGGGACATCAACGATAGTGGGAAACATGGGATAATTTATGCATAACTGGCTTCGCCCGTTATGCAAATTATTCCATGTTTCCCACTATCGTTGATGCCCTGGCATGCTACACTAACTATAGACAGTGATTCCTTAAATAAAGTATATCAACATCAGGATGACATGACATTAATGATTCAGAATGTTACTCCTTAAATGCATAAAAATTGATTTAACTTGCTCTACAAACACATTCTGAAACAAATACACTCTTCACATGCTGTAACTTTCATGAAAAAATAACTTACACGAAAACGAAAGTAGAAATGTTCTATCAATACGTTATCGTATAACATTATATTAAAACTAAACAAACAAAATCCCCTAAATTAATATCACCTTTGAGATTCTTGATAATGCACTACGTTCTTTTGCTTAATCTAATCAGTTCCTGCTGACTGCATGGATAATCCGTTTATTTTGCGACTTTAAAACCCATGATTTAACAACAAACAAGATCGGAACTACTTTTTCAGTTTTTGGTGCGTTCAGTTTCGTGTTCATTTCTATTTCAACTCTTGGTGTTTTGATGAATAACAATAAGTTAACACCGTCTTAAACAGCTGAGTTTTTATTATAACATAGGCCTATTGGTGGGTATGTATGGTTAAACATTTTTTCTCTCCTGATTTAATATGAGGAATGTAGAAAATTCTCGGGCGGTAACTAGTGAAATCGTGCCTCTGAACATATGATGGCATTCCAAGATTTCTGCATTTGATATATTTTTATATTTACATGTATTTTACACAAGTTGCTTTAAAAGAAATAGTTATTTTTGCCGTTTTTTTCTTGCAGTGGAATATTTTACATAAGAACAGTTAAGCTTTTGGTACGTTTTCGCATTTGGATGAAATTCTATTTGATTATAATTCCCCTAGACGCCGTTTGACCCAGTTAATTAAAAAAAAAAAACCAAAAAAACTGAGAGGTAAGCTTTGCCTTCATCATACGTAAATATGCTCTTGAGTGTTTGATTATAGAAATACCGTTGTTTTTCTTTTTTTTTTCTTTTTTTTTTTTATAAAAAGCACACAATTTATTCCTGAGGATTGATCAATATTTATTTATTTTTGTTCTTTAAAAAGTATGCTACTGACATTTGAGATAGAGACACTTTAGACAGTAATATACAGAGGAGGGGACTCTCCTTAAACGAAAACAAGTGCCTCTGATGATGTTTTTTTCGGAAGCATAATCATCAAAACATCCACTGTCGAACAGTTGAAGGATTTCTTTGAATTATAAATCGAGTTGCACGACAGTGTTCGTATTCTCTACATGATATTTGCAGCAAAAATCGAGGCATCAAGCATTACGCCAGCGTTGTAACTGTTTAAAAATCCGTAAATAGAAAAAGATATTGAGACATGCTGGAATTCCATTCATCTCTTTCGACACCCGAGTCTTTTAGAAAACTATTTTGTACATCATATTGGCGATGACGCGCTTTTATTGTCTAATAGAAACAAATTAAGACAAGATTGCTACTACAAATCCTGAAGATGTCTGAGTTTGGCTCTCGATCTCTAGAGAGTTTGATACAGGGTCTGTCCGCAAATGAAAAGTTTCTAAATACTTACGCTTGGCGCAGCTAAGACCATTCGATTGCCAAGACAGATTTTTGTCCATTAATTAAATTAAATGAAAATTAGTGAAAACTACCATAATCGTAATAAAGATTGGCAGAGCATTTTGATGCATGGTTCTGTATTTGCAGACATGGCGACAGTAGTGAATATTGCCTTGCGTGTGTTGTCATGGATTGTGACGTTTATGTTTCTGATGGCCAGCCTCATCAAAGTCTGCCCATTCATCCCGCACATGCACGCGGAAATGGTTTGTTTCTTTGGTTGTTTGGGGATAAATTTAATTGAATGAAATGTTATAGTTATCAATTTTGCATTTTTTTAAAAATCAATTTTACATTTTTAAGAATGAAATGAAGTAAAGAGATAATAACAAATTGAAAAACGGTTATACATGTATAATATTGAATTTAGAGATTGTATTCTCTCTCGGACAATACTGACTTTAAGAAGAGCAACTGTATATGCAATGCTTAATATCTACTGAGTAGACCTTAGCTGAAAAAAATTATCCTAATTATTATTTTTAATTTTGGGCATTGTTATTTTAGGCCAAGGAATTTGTGAAGTTGGCTGAGGTATGCCCTACTGCCTGGTTCGGTTACATCCCTCCTTCCTACATCTACATGGTGACTGTAGGAGCCTGGGAATTGTTCTGTGTCGTCGGACTGTTCACTACGGGACTGCGGAAAACGTGCTATGCTATACTCACCGTAATAATGATAGGAGCTATATACTCTCATGCGGCCCTCAACGATTACAAAGGACTGCCTGTACCAACGTTTATGTTAGTGGCGTGTTCTGTTTTGTTTTTATCATCTTCATCCCAGCCAGAGAAAATGAAAAGAAATTAAGAAGGACAATAGCCCGGAAAAAAAGATGTTCTACAGTGCCGTGGCTGAGGCTTTAGAAGCTGCTGTCGTTGTTTGATTTACACCATCTGATGAAAATGATGTCGAATTTTGACTAGGTATATCAATATATGGCAAATACTCAACTGTAGTGTATAGGACTGTAAATGTATAAACTTTTAAAGATAGATTTTTTGCATATTTTAGCAAAGGTAGAATAGTTTACCTAACATTAAACGTGTAAAATGAATACAAATAAAATTATTTTATCCAACAGAGACAAGGAGTCAATCCAATTGTTTAAGGTGACATTTAAGTACCAGGTATTTAACAGAAACATTTCTTAAAATAAAAAGATCATGAAAGGTGAAGATCTCATGAGAAAAAAAATGTAAACAGGGCATAAACACAAAGTACTTGGAATTCAGAGGTGGGATTAGATGTCTAGGAGAAGTAAGTATCCCCTGTTGGTCGGTCACACTCTCAGTGAGCCTTTTATATTGATCAAGTACATGCAGACGGAGCATTCTGTTGTCAAATTAAGTATAAAGACAAAAGTTAAACAGTTGGTATGAAACAAGTCAGCCAAAATACAACCCAGTATATGTAAGGTCATTAAAACAACTATAGAATTTACAAAATGTATGAAGACTTTAAACGGGGTTGTTGAAATCCCTGTGACATCAACCTATGTGTTAGTAGCCTGCATCGGTTTAAAAATTCATCGTACTTATAGTGCATGCTACTCAGTAGCCGATAATTAGGGAGACATTTATAAGCAGCATATGCAGGTGAAAGCAGAATATTTGGTACATAGTACTAACATTTGGCATAATGTCACGAGAGCTTAGTCGGTCGGGTCCGTGTGTGTTATATGAATGAGCTGAACTGCAAATTACCTTATGTTATCGTAGAGATGGTCACTTACGCTTTCTTCCATGATCCCCCTCTCCCTCTTCTCCCCCCTTTCACTAATACCCACTTAGTCTTGTAAAATCTGATTGTCGTATCCAACTTTCATTTATAACTACAACATGACTAAACATTTGCCAACCTATTGGAGCGAATTTGGAGAAAGGGGATAGACATTAAGCCAAATATAGTACACAAAAGAAAGAACCAAAGATCAGTGACTTTTCTGAAATGCAGAGTCTTCCTGTTTTCTGACTTATCGAGACATATATATCCCATCTCTTTATTTCATAACAGCTTGACACAATGGTCTATAATGGTAGTGGCAATATGAACTAAACACGATTGGGTTATCACGTCTTGAAAAATGCAGTGTTGCGCATGTGTTATCCGAATAACGATCTCCATTGTGAGTCACTTGGGGAACCGGGCGACCAGACGTCTTCCAAACAAAGTTTCCGGTGTGGTTTGGATCAACAGCTCCGATGAGAACATAATTATCGTCAACTATGCAAGAAAAGATAAACAAGTAAAAATAATGTACACATATGTTAACAATTAAGTCTACAATTTCACATAGAAGGGGTTTTGCATCTGAATATAACAATAATTGAAATACAGCATAAAAAAATACATTGAATGTACTTACCGACACCTCGGAGATCCATTACGTCATGAACTGTTAAATCCTCTGCCAACTTAGAACAGTGGAACGCACAGAAAGCCTAAAATTAAAATTTTAACTGATATTTTAGAAGGATAGGCACTGAATTTCGAACGATATCTTACAGTTCGGTAGTTACTTTTACGTTTTCGTAGAATACTGGCTAGTTTTGTAATGCTACTAAAACGAAATTAGAATCAAAATCAGTTATCCCATTCTGTTTACCAGCTGGAAGCTTAGAAATAAGTACCTCCTGTTACTTCACCCTTTCGATCATCAGAAATCACGTGATAACTGGGGACATGCAGGTAGCGACATGAAGTAGATGCCAATGCCAGATCCAAGTCCGGATCAAAACGGTTGAGCAACCATACATCGTTAAACCCACATCTGCTGCAGAAACGACTACAAGGAACTATATTTGACCTAACAGATGGATTGAAATAGACCATACGGATAAACTTGCCGAGGAAGCACAAGAAGCCGCTGAAAGAGGGACATGAAAACTGTTTACCAGTGATCATGGTCCCAACCGAGACCTCCCTGTAAAAGCAGAAGACGATTTAGCAATGACAGAGGAAATGACAAAATTAGAGAGGAGGAAAGAATATTTTAAGAAGATTTTGGACCGATCAGATCTATCAATACTTCCTGAGAATGATGAGACAAAAACAGACCTCTAGATAGAAATGGGCTTTTAAGTCCCAGGAGAGGATGATGTATATTCCGAGATGCCCTAAATATTGTAGCGCATCCTCTGATACATGGCTTTAAGAGGATATTCCAGATAATTGGAAGAAAGGAGACATAATCAAACTGGCCAAGAATGGTGACCTTGGAGATTGCAACAACTGGTGTTGGGTTACATTTTTCTCTCTCTTACCTGCTAGGTCTTCAATCACATCATACTACAACGTATATTAGTGGCCGTGGAAGACATACTTCTTCAGGAGCAGGCCAGATTCATTTAGAGGAAATCCTGTATTGACCATATATTTGTACTAATGCAGATACTGGAGCAGTCATATGAGTAAAACAACACTCTATGCTGTATTTGTAGATTTTGAAAAGACTTTTCATAGCTACACCGTAATTCTATCTGGAAGATCCTGCGTCACCACGACACCCTACAGAAACTGGTTTGTATCATCCAGTCCCTCTACGACACTCTGAGTGCCGAGTGGTAAATAACCATCAGGTCACAGAGTCCTTTGCAGTGAATACAAGAGTAAAACAAGGATGTATTCTGTCGCATGTGCTATCGGGACATGAAGAACATCACACAGGAGAAAAGACAGGAATGCAGTGGACAATGACCTAAATACTACCGAACCTGGATTGTGCTGATGACCTTGGCTTGCTATCAAACAGACACTAGGATATCTAGCAGAAGACAGAGTACTTTAGTGTAACAGCTAACAAATTCGGATGGAAGATCAACACCAAAAAGTACATGTACAGTTTTTACTAGTAAAAACGACTAACAGAAATTTAACATTGATCAACATTGAACAACATAAAGGATGTTGAGGTGTTCACATACCTGGTAGCAAAGTCACCACAACGGGCGACTATAACAAGAAAATAAAACTTGGATCTGCAAAGCAAATCAGTCTCTTGCAATGTTGAAATCCCTACGAAGATCCACAACACTCATCATGCAACCCTGATCAAGATCTTCAAGTGCAATATCCTCAGTGTCCTCCTGTATGAATCAGTGCTGAAAAATCTCTTTTGCGATTATAAGGAAGCACAAAGTCTTCTAAACCAAATCCCTCAAACGCATTCTTTTAAAAGATCTTTTGGCCCAAAACCATCTCTAATGAAGAGCAATTAATAGAACTGTATTGGCAACAATATTACTGGTGATGGCTTGGTTAAGTCCTACGCATGCCTCTCTCCCAAACCCACTGCGTAGTGTTGCCAATTGATGGGCTTCCCAAGGAAAAAGGAATAAAGTCCGGCCAAAGTAGACCTGGAGACAAACTGTCCTCAAAGACCAGAAATCAAGAGCATAAGACTGACCATGGAGACAGCCCACCGAGTATCAGATGGAAACCAATTGAAGCCGCCTCAAACAACTGGCGACGCAGAGAGGATTGAGTGGGTGGGTAAGTAGCGACATCAGAGCTCTTATTCATAAGCAGACTGAAGTCGAGAGGTGTCAGTTTGCTTTCAGCTAAGGTGCGACATGTTATCTTGCTTAACAATTTTTTTTGTGCCTGTATAAGGCTTTTAAGACTTTGTTGTACTACTCAGCAAGTTGGTGTTTTACGTTGCTAGAAAGCACATTCACTTCAAGACAGAATTGGATATTGCAAATATTACTTATTTAGACTCTTTGACTTTAATATGTATTTGATTTATTCATGTAATTTTTAAGGCAGAACAACGGAATCTTTGAACCCAGGTATGTTACACTACATATATCTGAAGTGTATGTAACAATTTGGTATAAAATGGTATACTATCCTTATCCGGTAAATCTAACAAACCTGAGCCTCTGTAAAGTTGTACCTCTCATCCCCCACCAGGTAACATCGTCCAGCATTGAGCTCAAAACCCACTGGACAGTGGTGGTCCTCCGACAGATACAAACAACCTGAAACGAAGTATAATGGTCACATATTATACTTTACAGCAAGTGGAAGCGACAAGTACGAACAAAATGGTCACTTTTATATTAGCAGCAAATGGAAGCGACAAGTACAAGCAACCTGAAAGTAAGAACAAAAATGGTTACTTATATTAGCAGCAATTAGAAGCATTTTTTCTACCCACAATTTCTAAAGGCAGTTCGGGTATATTGTTTACTAAATATATCCTGACGCGTCCGTCAGACTGTCACAATATCTTTTTCCTCGAAGTTCTCTGTAACATTTAAGGCAGTGGCCAGTTCATTTATAAAGTTAAAAAGTCTTATTTGTAATTGCACAAGGTTTTGGAGTTTCTTTTGTATCCAAAGTGTTGTTTGGGGGTTTGAAAATGTGCGGCTTGGTACACGGAAGGAATTAAAACACCGGCATACTTAGAAAGCTGGATGTATACTAGTACTCAAATATATGTCAAAGTCTTCATGTGTAACACAAAGATCTGTACATCGATATTTTTGTCATGCACTATTACAAAGACTGTATTAAAATTTCTTGGACTATTTTAGATATTTCGATCAGTAATGTTATCACCTGATAAGCCGGTGGCTGGTGTGGGGTGGACCAGAGCGTGGTGGTTACACAGAGGCCCCTCACAACAGTCGCCATTCAGGGACAACTCCAGCGGATCACTCCGCCGACCAAATATATGACCAGCCTGGTTATGGAAACTCGAACACACCTGTCAAGAAATCGGTTTCATATTGGAGATTCAAGTATGAATTAACAAAAGAATTAATCATCACAAACACGTACAAAGTACTTTACACTTAAAGGACTTTAGTTTTGAAGGCAAGACAAATTCATGATCAAATGAAATTCAATGGTACTTGTACTGTAAAACTGACTTTTTGAGATAATGACACTTGAACGCGAATGCTTTCTTTAGTATAGTTATATACTTATTGACGATCAGGACTTTTATGGAAAACACCCTTTTAACGATAGAGCCATCAATGTTCGTAAAGATTATTTACATTAATTATGTAAAGCTTAATTACATTTTCGTGAACACATCCGAGTTTATATCCATGTTCTCCGGCGGAAGTTAGAGTTTCCAGAGTGTAGCATTTCTGTGAGTAAAACATTTATAATTTTAAAATTTATTGAATTACTTTTGAATGTATAAATCAGATTGGTGGTATGCAACGAAATAAATACCTCTCCTGGAAGACAGCCGACCATGTTGTTGCACGTCTCTGTCTTAGTCACGTGACTACACGAATAACAGCCAACTGTTTAATGAAGAATTGGAAGCATATCACATAAGAGTGTCATAAATTACGAATGAAAGAAATTGCCAGTTGGAACCATAAGCTTATAGTAGTTAATTCCTTAAGCTTATAATAACAAAAAATTCTTCATGATTACCGGTATGTCCTTAACGCAAGAATTTAGGAGCTTTGGGCAAAATTACTAAAACGTTACACGTTATACAATTACTATTTTATCTAACAAAAATAAAGCAAATACATATTTGTAAACAGTAAATTTTCATCATTATTTTCATCTTCAAAACATATGATATAGATATTTATGTTGAATATTTAAAACATCAATTACCGCAGTTTCCACAGGTTCTTGCACAGGCTTTGGCCATACAAGGGTCATTACACATACCCTGTTTGATTTTACTGAGTCTTAGACACGCTGCAGAGTCTATATCAGTGCATATCGCTGAAACAAACAAGCAAAGCAGCAAATAATATTTGACGACAATCTATCTGCTCAAGGATTCTACTTCCTAATTTTACCTTTCCTCAAACTGTTTTGATCTCAGTTCTTTTTTTCAAAAAATAAACCACGTAAAGTTAATATCGATGAAATGTTGAAATCCTGAAACACTTACAACTCGCATTGTTTGTAGCAATTTGTCGACGTGTTTTTGTGTCCCTCTTTTGCATGTGAGTGTTGCACAAATCCGTGTCGCAGCACTTGCCGTTCAGTGTCGCTCTTTTGTCTGGTTCTTCACGTCCTATCACTACCAGAGAAGTGTCGTATCCAAAATTATTTCTACACACCTGAAAACAAAATTGTTTTATTTTTTATTATAACTTTAAGGGCAAAATATTTGCAGCGAAACAAAACCATGCAAAAATTACATGGAACTATGTTTAATTGCAGAACACATTTCGCAAAAAAGGGCAATGTCTTGAATTGGCAAAACATACCCTGTTTGATTTTACTGAGTCTTAGACACGCTGCAGAATCTATATCAGTGCATATCGCTGAAATAAACAAGCAAAGCAGCAAATAATATATGACGACAATCTATCTGCTCAAGGATTCTACTTCCTGATTTTACCTTTCCTCAAACTTTTTAGACTGATTTTCACTTTTTTTTTTAAAAAAGAAAAATAATAAATTTAACATTTTTTTAATAAACCACGTAATATATATATATATATTTATATGAAATGTTGAAATCCTGCAAACACTTACAACATCGCATTGTTTGCTACAAAAAGCAATTTGTCGACTTAAATAATGTTTTTGTGTAAATATTTTTAATGCATGTGTAAGTACCTGTTGTTACATAATCCGTGTCGCAGCACTTGCCGTAAAATTTCAGTGTATGCATCTATTTGTTTATGGTATCTTCAAATGCCTATCACTACGGGTTTATTTAGAGAAGTGTTTATCCAAAATTGTTTCTACACACCTGAAAACAAAATTGTTTTAGTCTTTATTATAACTTTACAAAGGCAAAATATTTGCAGCGAAACAAAACCATGCAATAAATTACATGGAACTATGTTTAATTGCAGAACACATTTCGCAAAAAGGGCAATGTATTGAATTGGCAAAAGGGTTATGTGTAGTACTTAATAGGTGTCGTGAGTTGACTTACGTCAGATGCTGCACATCCAAGTTTGTATACAAGAGAGAAGTCTGCTCCATATGATTCGGATATAACGCATTTCTGTAAGCATGCAATATGAAATATATCTGGGACCTTACAATCGTCACACACATTCTGCTGATAGGCGGTACAACTTGTGTGTCAAACTGAATAATAAGCAAACAAACTGCTTTTTGATAGTCCTACATTGAATATAATTGACTATTTTCCACTATTTTCTCAAAATTTTTCATTTAAAAGAAATACCAATGTAATTCATAAATTTAACATTTAAATAGTTATATATATATATATATATATATATCTGAAATATATACATACATGGTCTAGACTTGGACAGTACCTCGTTGCGTTGCAATCATTCACTGACGTCACGCCATCACAGTCATAACATCTCAATGCTACAAAAACCTTGTCAGTTATGTTTCCGGGACTTAAATAATGTCTTATTCCATATAAATATTTTTAATAAACTATCAAATTTAAGATATCTCAGTTTAGGTTATATAATCTCACCGAGGTATGTGTATGATTATGTAAACCACAATATGAGAAATTCAATACAGTAAAATTTCAAATTATAAAATTTAAAATATGCATCATATTTGCTTATGTATACGTATATCTTATTCAAATACAACTGACAATTGACAAGCTCTCTCGGGTTTATTTATGCAATATAAGCTTGAAATTTAATGGTTTAAAATACGTTTTGAAATATAAATTCTATTTTTTGCCATGAAATTGAATTAAGTGAATCTCATGAATTTTCATGTATTTTAAACTTTCACACACTCGAATGTGTACACAAAGGAAAGTTTCAAAGGTTTCGGACTAAACAAAATTAATGAAACGTCATGTGAGGAAAAAAATATATTAAGGTCAATTATTATGTAATATAATTTTGATACCTGGTAAATATTTCTGAAACGAAACCTGTATGATGCATTTCTTATGATATGCAGGTTCAAACAGTATCAATATATTGCGCGCAACATATGCTTGTGGAAGAGAATTGATTTTTATATTTGAAATGTAGCGTATGGTGTACATTTTATGTATTTCTAACTGACATTTTTTTTTAATTTAACATGAATTGCAACGGAAACAAAATTATGTACAATCCAATTGACAATGATTTTATTATGCACCCCAATCCTGTAAATGTTTAAAACTGTTAACACATGCTAGAAAATTTATTTCTAAGTGTCTTAAATTCATCTTTGGCAACCTTTTTGCAGTTTGTTACTTTTCATGTGCGACTTTTCGTCAATATTAATTGAATTGTTGTTATAATTTAAAACAAGGTATGCAAATGCTTTTAATTTTTAAAAAAAAAAACCAAAAAAAAAAAAAAAAAAAAAGAAAAGAAAAAGAAACAAAACAAATAAACCCAGAACACAAGACGGTTACGTACATTTCAAATACTGAATACTCAGTTTTGTTTGAATCATTGCATTTTGGGTTATATTTTTCCAGATCTACTGAAAAGCACGTATGTTTGTGTTTTGAAAAACGATGTTGCAACATACTAAATGAAATTGTTAACAAGACTGTCAATGGATATATTGAATAGATTTTGTTAAGTTTCAATGGCCAAACACGAACATTTATTTTAAAAATACATTGACTAAATATTTTTTTGTCTGTAACCTTGCACACAGTTAGAAGTAACTAGGCTACATGTCAATTTCAGCGAAACAGCACAAAAGAATGGTTATGAACTGTACAATAATATGTGAAATGAACGTTACCAGTGACGTGACATTTTTTTGATTATAATTTGTTACATTTTTTCTTATATTACTGCATTAAAACGCTTCATTGATATGATTTTTATGTCAAAAATTGCTTTTTTTTAATATTTTCTTAACAATTTACATATTATTACAAGCTTGAAATGAACAATATTTAATCGTGTCTTTATAGTGGTGATTGTGACATATAACACAATGTGATTACATGAATCTTTTTTGGAATAAACTGAAACAAAACGAACAATTTTTAGATGAATTTTAAGCTTTTTATTAAACAGAAATATATTTGAAATGTATCCTTTAAATTTTGGATATATGTTAAAAAAGAAAATCAAAATAGAATTTTACTACATATAATTTTTCAGTATCTATTAAAAATGACAAGAGAATTCACTCTTAACAAAACAGAGAGAAGAATTTAAAGCATATATTTAAAAAAATTTTTTACACATCTGGACAAAAAGTAACCTTTGTTTTTTAAAGGAAAAATCAAACACACATCGTATGCCGAGAAAATATGTTGATGACAGAGTTGGTAGGATGTGCTGGTGTTAAGATGAGATATTCCAATTGTGATTTTAATGACTACATTTTTTTTTTACATATTTTTTTGGACATTGAAGAAAAAGTAACGTACATTTCAAGCTACATTTCTGAATAAAATTACCCTCTACTTTATCGTCTTGTCATTATTTCATGTATTATAATTTGATGAAAAAAATCTGGAAACAAAATCTTCAGATACTTTCTTTCAAAGGTAATTGATAGAAAAATTGTTTTCTTGAACTTCATTTTTTAAAAAATCAGAGAGGCATGTGTGCCCTTATATTGAGAATGGGTGGATATGATCTTTTTATGAATTAAAAGACACTAACCTTAAGTATTATTTTAATAAAAACTTGAATTTTCTTCCGCAGAAACGACATTATTCACTTAACGACTGGCCAACATCTAGGACGAAAAACTTTTGTTTTTATGTTTAAATTTGTTATACATATATAAATTATGGTAGTTTTGTATTTGAACAGAAAACGAATTTAAGATCTAATTTAAGGGTACTGCGTTTTGGTTTTATATTAATATATGTTTATATGTAACCATGATTACTTACCTAACACAATGACATACATTTTGTATGGATGGACAAATACAGTCCTGGTGAGTTGGACTGTCATATATAAGACAGGTTAAGTATAAATAAAGATTATACAATCTGGCTTTATCTTTGATCTACTTAACAATTAGAAGAGAAGAATGTTATAAAATTATGTGAATCACTGTTTGTAGCTAACAAAGATTCATATACATTTTATATTTACAAATATGTCGAAATCCTCATAATATAATGCACAGTTTCCTCAAGAAAGGCCTTAGATTTGGCGACACTTACATATGAAGAAATCATAAGTGCAAAAAATCATGAATTCTTAAAAAAGCCCACTACAACTAAGATAATTGCACTGTAATTAATACATGCCTTACATATCTCTCGACATGAAATTTATTACTAGTTTAATGTAATTTTTCTGAAATCTATGCCGTGGAATACGATTACACTTCACTTTCAGAAATGACATGATTATAGTCTGTGATATAGTAAAATATCAACATTAATCTAGGTCATATATTCTGACCTCTTTCATGATATAGTCAAAATATCAACACCAGGCCTATATTCTGATCTCTTTCATGTGTGTTACCAAATGTTTTGTTAATCAATAATAATAATGTCTTTATCAGATTTTTTAAAAAAGGGTTTTCATTTGGAACGAAATAAAATGAAATTCAATTCAACATAAAATACGGATACATGGAGAAGACGACCAGTATTCAAGCTCATAGTCCAATAAACAATACCAAATTGGAACTGAGCAAAAGAATCAGGTGTGATCAGATGCCATAGAGGAGTGAGCATCCCCTGCCAACCGGTCACACCTGCCCTGTGCTCCGTCGGAAAAATCCGTCGACACTTTTGTGTGTTCAAATTTCCTTAATTAGTATGAAAAAGGCCAGTCAGCATTTGATTTAATGATAACTTGTATATGCTGACAAGGTCATTGTATCGATCATAGAACTTACCAAATGATGACTTTAAACGAGACTGCTGATGGTCTTGTTTCGGCACTTTGTTAATAATTTAGCTCTTTTATAAATTGTTCATGCGAAAAGCATGCTCTTGCGCAACGAATCAAGTGAGAGATAAAGCCCGCATGCAGGTGGTGAAAGTATATTGCTGATAAGTAATGGAAGCTGACCATTTAAAAGTTAAAATCATCAAGTTTATCATAATACTTGGTAGTTAGTTAACCATTAATGTCTTTTTCAAGAAAATATCTAAATATAAGGCCACACCAATAAATTTTCTTGTTCGTCGGACCCGCCCGCTCGTATTTAAACAACGCAATACAAATAATATTAATTTAAATTTCCCGCACCATAAAAATTATGGGCTATTTTCTGTTCCATTTCCGCTCTATTAATCGTTTGTTTAATCTGCTAACTCTGCAAATCAGATAAAATATAATTTTCCGCTCAAATTTTTTCACGCTACGCCTAAAAATTTTACCTTCAAAAAAGTAATAATATTATTATTTAACCGCTTGCCCCCTCGTACTTTTTTCCATCATAAATATCCGACGAACAAGAAATTAAATTGGTGTGGCCTAAAGCAGATGTAGGAGACTCTGTGGTATCTTTTATTTCAAGCATTCCATTTGACAACACTTCTGAGTTCAATTTATACGGGGATGAAAAGTTTCAAACGTTGCAGAGAAATATGTATGAACTTTCATTTATACATTTATTTCTGATATATTGCAACTGTTCTTCTCTGTATAAAGCAATATGCTATTTAATAGTATTAAGTAATCAGTGATATTAGTAATACCAAAATATAAAAACAAAATTATAAATCAAGCCTGTACGTTTTAGTAAAGCCCATGTTATCATCATTAGTAAATAAATATTGTTGACAGATATAAGTGGGATACGTACTTAGCAAAACAATATCGAGGTGATATTGAGAAGGAATCATACACTTACATGCAAAAAGCCTTTGGTAAATAATTTTTGTCTATAAATTGAATTAAATGCTCTTTTAAGTTTCATAGTTAATCAAAGTATCCATGTATGTAATAAGTACTGTAAACTATATAAAATTTTCGTTCTGGGTATTCGTTTATTTATTTTTTACACCAATCACGGTGTATAGATTTCCGAATTTTCGAGAAGTATTGTAACGTTTATTACATGGGTTATACACAAAGTGTCTGCATTTATTGCGGTTTTTTGAAAACATAAATGATACTTTCCCGAACCCAGTAAGTGTAATATGGAGAAAAAAAAAACAATAATCAAGTTTGTCCATTGAAATTATATTACAAATTTGGAGCAAAGCAAACACGTTTTCAAATGCCATGAATGAGTAAAAAATCTCCTATAGATCGGTTACAACTATGTTTGCTTCTTGTCATGATCAGACTATTGGAAAATTCAAAATTACTTAAATGAAATAAATAGAGATAACGAACAGTATTGAAGCTCAAAAGTCCATGAAACAATGTACAGTTATTGACTGGGTATGAGGGCAACATATGATTTGTTGGACCTGAAGGTGAAAATGT